TATATCCATGAATGGGAACCGGAAATGGGCCAGCAATTTCCCCAGGAAACACAGGTCCCAGGCAATGTTCAGGGTACTAGCTGTTGTATCACCCATTTAATGGCGCAGAGAAAATTCCCATTGTGATGGTATATGCTTTGTCTTATATATCTCTTCTATGCTTGCAGTGTCAGACAAAAGATGGTACACTCGCTCATTATTTTTGGGTTTGTCTAGCCCTAGGGTTATTTAGGAAACAAATGTACTCCTTAATGTATTCATTGACAGGGCTTCACTTTCCTCTAGCAATTGATATTTATATTTTGGGTATGTTCCAATAAAACTACATCTCCCACAAAGAATCACGATATGGCATACTCTCAATGCACCCAAAAGCACCAGTTCCTAGGGTCCTGAAAAGGGTGGCAAGCAAAAGCTGTTTGAAAAATGTATCATACTACGTATTGATAAAGCTTGCTTTTGCTTTCAGTGGCACAAAGCTATAATAAAATGAAGGAAATTGCATTTGTATCTTTTCAGGGGCGTCAACCTTATCCTGAAGATGCCATCAACAGCTTTACCTTATCTCACCTATGTTCCCAGTCTGTGTGTGCATGTTCCTACCTGTTTTTCTTGCAAAGATTTCATTAAAGGTGTAATACATTGAAATAAATTAATTAATTAAATTATGCAGTGTGCGCCTCCTCCCTTGCTAATCCCTGGCCTTATCTGAAGTCTAGGATAGCCTTATGCCTATCCCACGCATGCTTAAACTCCTTTACTGTGTTAACCTCTACCACTTTAGCTGGTATATATATATATATAAATATATATATAGTTATGTAACACTAAAATGCAAACCAGTATAATCCAATGTATACAGTCAGGTCCATAAATATTGGGACATCGACACAATTCTAATATTTTTGGCTCTATACACCACCACAATGGATTTGAAACAGTTGTAACTCCTACACCGTTCACCTGATTTGGATGTAAATACCCTCAAATTAAAGCTGACAGCCTGCAGTTAAAGCACATCTTGTTCATTTCCTTTCAAATGCATTGTGGTGTTGTATAGAGCCAAAAATATTAGAATTGTGTTGATGTCCCAATATTTATGGACCTGACTGTATATTGGATAAGCTTGCTGTATGGTAATAGAAGGGTTAATAGGCAAAAGTGTATGCTCAGCAGTATAATTGCTCAGCTGTGTAACTGATCAGCAGTATAATTATTTTGTAACAAAACTTTCACTGTTTGAACTAAGATTTTCAAGGCCAGCAGGCGTGTGAGGAGTTGTCCTATTCCCAATGTGAGGAGTTACCATCCTCCCAATTAGAACAGTCTATGTTCCTGCTAGGAGAATAGACAAATAATGGTGTATGCTAAGCCTGCCAAGATAAAATTCCTTTCTGTTTTATTTGTTATGCTTCTCTTTCACTGTTATCATGTTTATATTCAAGATCTTAATATATATGCTTTCAGAACCAGTTTTGACTTCTCCTCTATTGCAATAAAAATGTGATCCTATACTACCATATACTCCTGGCCTCTGATTGGTCTATTGGAAAAGGTTTTTCAGAGGGTATTGGCGACTCTAGTGGGACCCGAAATCCTGATATTTTGGTGCTCGGGAAGACCGGTGAGGTGGAAACAAGAAACACTGGCTTGTTGATTCATTGTGTCCATCCTTGCATTTTGCCTACACCGATCTTGTACGGACTCCATAACCTCGAGTGAAGGGTTCTTCGGAGCAGTGGAAAGAGGATCAGTCTGACCTGCTCTCAAGACTAGCAGGTGATATGAACCACCCTTAATTATATTAATTTATGATACGAGGAAGAAGTATAAATATTTGGTTTTCACTGCCAGGTAAAGCAGTGTTCTGGTCATATTTGTGTGGCAATTCTTTGAGGTTAAAAAGGGGTACAGATATCAGGTTTTCACTTCAGGTTAAGTATACCTTGCAACATTAAAAATGAACAAAGAGGGACATTTCCGTTTTAGGGGTGAGTGGTGGTGTGTCTAGTGGCTGCGTTGTTTTGGGAACATTTTAGTGACTGATTAACAATACATAAAGCAACTTAATGTAATTTAGAACAAGAGCAATATATTTTATTTATATGGATCAGGTAATTAGATACATTGTTTCCCCAAGGGGCTTAATCAAGAGTATGATTTATTAACACTGATCTGAATAATTTTTGTTTTTAAATTATGTAGTGAGTATATTTACTGATGGGTTTCTATTAATATATGTATTTTTTATATTTTCCCAGGTTCTTTGGCAAACTATTGGTGCTGGTCTTCCATTACACCCCTGCTTTATCTTCATACTACGTTCTCATGTCAATTCATCATATAAGTGGGATTTTATCACATTATTTATTTTTATTTATTTATTATTGCCATTTATATAGCGCCAACAGATTCCGTAGTGCTTTACAATATTATGAAAGGGGATTTAACAATAAATAGGACAATTACAAATAAACTTACAGGAACAGTAGGTTGAAGAGTACCCTGCTCAATCGAGCTTACATTCTATAGGAGGTGGGGTGTAAGACACATTAGGACAGGAGTGTGCAATCAAAAAAGGTGGGCTGCCCTTTAGGGGAGGGCAAGGAATACACTAGATACACTATGTGCATTTGTGTACTATTTCATCACGGTCTACATTGATTACGATTGTTAATGCACTTTATTATTGTTTATTTTTTATAGTTCACATAATCACATTGTTTTGAATGTTTTTTTATTAAATGCTGCATGTTTTGCACCTTATTTGGATTCATACACTGCTTCTACACTGATATAATACACATTATCTCTTAATATTTTCAGTTTAAGTGCTTAAGTATACACATTATCAAATGTGGCACTTTATTTGATACTCATGTATTTTTCTGTTACCATTTTCACTTTAGTAAATCAATGACTTTATTTGATTTAATACATTAATATATTTGATACAGTATATTTTATAATGCAGTGTTTTTTTTCCCTTTCTAAGGAAGTCAGATTTTATTTATTTTCACGTGTGATACTTTTTTAAAATTAATATTTACAGTGAATTATTTCCTTTCATTATTTTTTAATATTATCTGAAGGACCAATCAATATACTGTTTTGTTTCTTATTATGATATATATTTTTTTCTATTATTATTTTTCTTTTCAACTGCAGCCTCTAGATATATGTCTTACTTTTAATGTGTAAAATGTATTTGGTGTATCATTTATTCTTAACAAAAAAAAATATGCATAAACTAGGAATATCCTAAAAATACACAAGAGGGCGCTCTCCCAGTGGTGTCTGATGGTCTATTGTGTATGTGAGGATATCCCTCATTTTGCACATTTTTTGGTTTGGTTTATACACAAGGTTTTTCTGGGAGTGGGCCTGTTAGAGGCAGCATTCACTTAGCACCCATCTGTACAGTTCCCATTGTTTAGCACTTATTCTCGCCCTCCTTTAGGAGTAGGGATTTGGTTTCTTTGGCAATTTCTCTAATGCTATGTGATGTTCATATGCTTCTGTATCCTAGGATACACTTTTCTGCCTCTCCAGATGTTATAGCGTGGTGACTTGTGCGTAGGCTCCATCATCGTGTGGTGCATCCTCAAATTGGTACTTTGTATCACTCATGCATGAGATGGAGTGAGAGTTGTGCATCTTCATGGTGTCGTGTAGTCTCACGCTTTTGTTATTAAGCCCAGCGATAGCCTGAGGCCTTTTTGGTAATAACTGGCTTATGTAGTTAAGGTGCCCCTTCTAATGGGGTAGAATAGAGCTTTGCTAAAAAAAACAATTATATAGAGATTGAATTGAATATATATATATATTTATTCAAGTAACCTGTGTTTATGAAAGGATTTCGATTATGAAACAGAATGTGACAGCAGATAAGAACCATTCAGCCCATCTAGTCTGCCCAATTTTCTAAATACTTTCATTAGTCCCTGGCCTTATCTTATAGTTAGGATAGCCTTATGCCTATCCCACGCATGCTTAAACTCCTTTACTGTGTTAACCTCTACCACTTCGGCTGGAAGGCTATTCCATGCATCCACTACCCTCTCAGTAAAGTAATACTTCCTGATATTATTTTTAAACCTTTGTCCCTCTAATTTAAGACTATGTCCTCTTGTTGTGGTAGTTTTTCTTCTTTTAAATATAGTCTCCTCCTTTATTGTGTTGATTCCCTTCATGTATTTAAATGTTTCTATCATATCCCCCCCGTCTCGTCTTTCCTCCAAGCTATATGTGGTGGAAAATATCGTTACTTTTGACTGTTTTACCTATTTATATGTTCGGGAGTTATTTTACCTGAACCCACTGTATTCGACTCCTGAACGAGGACTGAGGTACAGGTGTACATTTTGTCGAAAGGTGATTGGGAGAACCAACTACAACTCACCAAACGACGAGCCTTGGACGTATCCCCAGTTTCGGCAGCTCCTGAACAAAAGCCCAAAATCCTGTAGCACGCATTCAAGACGTTTGCCAAATCGGAGGAGGACATCAATGAATTCCTGCAAGATTTTGAATGCCTATGTCACTTACACAACATAGCCTCCGCAGATTGGTTCCCTCTCCTAGCGTGGAAACTGACGTGGAAAGCCGCAGACGCATGCAGAGCCGTTCTGGGCTTCCGATTTATGCAACTTTGCCCAGGTTAAGCAAGTGTTCCTGGCCAGATATGCAATCACGCCAGAGGCATATCACAGAAAATTCTGCAAATCCCCCCAAAAAACAAAAAAAGGACTTGCATACTGAATAGGCCTGTTGTTTAATTAGGGCAGCCCTCAACTGGATGCAGGCGCAACAGGCGAAGATCCTGGAGGAGATACTATAAGTTGTCCTGCTTGAACAATTTTACAATGGCCTCTCCTTCAAGGTAGAAGAATGGATGAGAGACCGCCAACCTCTAAAACTAACTAAGGCTGCTCAGCGGGCAGATGAGTACCTAGATGCCCGGAGACCACAGCGACCCAGCTACCAACCTCCAATACGCCCTACTCAATCTTATTTTCCTGCTGCAGCACCACAGCCTCTGAGCCATTCGACTCCAGTAGCATCACTAAGGCCACCAAACTAAGCCAATACACAGTGTCATCAATGTTTCCTCTATGGGCACATAAGAAGGGACTGCCCCCAGCCGAGAGACCGGTCCCAGTGGGTACGACCTGAACCAGCACCCAGGGCAGCCGCTAACTGTTATCATGTAGCCACCTTGCAAACCTAACCTATTAGCGAAGAGGCCAGGGGTTTCCTACACGAGGCAGACCCAGTACAAGCAGCAGCGGACAACTGGAGTCACCATAGACAATCCGTAAAACTGAACGTGAGAACCATACAAGGTCTGCGAGACACAGGTGCCACACTAACCCTGGTTCAACACCAACTAATCAAGGAGGCCGAAAAGCCTGGAGGACCCCATCATTCCGTATGTACTGGAATTCCGGGACCGACTAGAGGAACTTAGTTAGTATGTGAAAACCTCCAGGTGGCCCAGGAGCGCCAGCGCACATGGTATGATCAGGGAGCCAGGAGCTTTCAAATGGGACAGAAGGTTCTAAAACCCTTCCGACATGACAGGCTACAGGCTGCCTGGAAGGGCCCATCTCAGGTAGTGGAACGGAAATGTAACACTGCCTATGTTATCGGCCCATGCTCTGGGGATGGGGTCCGACGTATGTTACATGTTAACATGCTGAAGCACTAACATGAGCGGACAGAGGACATAGCCGCTGTATGTGGTCCCGTTTCGGTAGATTTTGACAATCTTCCCCTGCCAGATCTCATAGAAAATAGAATTCAGGCAGGGTCCATTGATGAGGTACAACTAGGGGACCGGCTAACCAGTGTGGAAAGCAGTAAAGTGCTGTCTGCAAAGCAAGAGACTTTTTCCAACCCACTTGGAAACTCCCTTCCAACAACCTCTACGGCAAACTCCGTACAGAATCCAGGAGGCGGTTCAGGAGAATATGAGGCAGGAGATCCAAGAGATAATAGAAGCATCTAAGAGTCTTTGGCCTTCCCCGGTAGTCTTTGATACAAAACGTGTATCCAGAATACCCAGATTTTGTATATACTACCGAAGGCTCAATGACAAAACAGTATCCGATGCTTACCCCATGTCTCGTATAGATGAGCACTTAGATAGAATTGCTCACAATCTGTACCTGACCACCACTAACTTATGTAAAGGGTACTGGCAAATCCCTTTAGCGGCAGATGCTATCCTGAAGTCGGCATTCATTACTCCGTTCGGTCTATACCTATTCAAGATAATGCCATTTGGAATGAAGAGTGCCCCAGCCACCTTCCAGAGAATAGTATATCGACTTTTAGATGGCCTTCAGGATTATGCGTTCCTGGAAGACATTTCAGTATTCAGCGACACTTGTGTAGAGCATCTGGTACATGTAGGGGCCGTGTGAATGTGATAAACGTGATGACATGATAAAATTAGAGGGGCAGGGTTAACTTTAAAACCCAGCAAGTGCCACATAGGAATGGCAGAGATGCAGTACCTGTGACACAGAGTAGGGAGTGGGGAGCAAAAACCTGAACCGATTGCAAAGATTGAGGCAGTAGCTAATTGGCCCCTACCCCACAACAAGTAATGACCTTTTTAGGGACTGTCGGATATTACAGAAAGTTTGTCCTGAACTATAGTGCCCTAGCGAAGCCCTTTACCGACCTGACACGGAAAAACGTACCCTGCCAAGTAAACTGGACCCCAGAGTGCAAGCAAGTTTTTCACGAACTTAAGAAAGTGTAACGCCCACCCAGGTTGTCAGAGGGATGTCTGCCATTGGAGATGTCTTTCCCCGGCGAGAGACTGTGCTGCAGAGTAGGCCAGATGTCCCATCAGCTGGATCAGGATAGAGAGAGTAGCCGAGCTCTTACAAGAGCTAGTGATTTAGCTAGATGCAGGTTCCCTTCACTAACAAGAACGAGGCTACGTATTGAGGGTTAAGCAGGAACTGATTTAACGGGCACACAAGCATTTCTTTTAGACAACTTTACCCACAAGGTTACCACCCATGTGGACCTTGTTGGGCACCGAAAACACAAACTCAACAACCAATCAGTTACACAGTTAAACACCATTCATTACAGTAAATTCCTCCCCTCTGAAATTAAAATACCAAACAGTCATGCTTTTTATTGTTTGTGTCTTTGCTGGTCGTGTGCCGCCTCGTTCATGGATTATTTTTACTGGACGCCGTCTTGTTCGTATAAATCTATACGAAACTAAGTGGTCCTGGAAGTCTCAGTGGTGTTCAGGAGTTTGAGTGTCCGAAACTAGTTCCAGACACTCGACGACCAAACACCACTGGACGCGTTCAACAAAACAAGATGGCTGCCGCCACGTGTTCATACATACGAATCGACGGCCACCCAGTGAACCACTTAGAACGTTTGCGGTTTGTGGTCTGGCACAGAGTCAAGGAGTTAATTAGCGGCACATGCCTGGGCTGGGTGGTCTCTGGTTCAGTAGTTTGTTTGTTCATACGAATGGGCTAGCAGTGTCATTCGTTTTCCCATTCGTATGTGAAATATAACAACAGTAACAAATCCAGTGGTTATAATGTTTCAAGTCTGTTGGCCAGGCAATACCAGGGGATCTGTTACAGAAATCCCTTGTAAATGCACCCGTCCTGGCCACTCCTAATCCAAATAAACTTTTTCTCATCCACTCAGATGCCTCCATGTTTGGATTGGGAGCAGTGCTGAGCCAGGTCTGGGATGATGGTGGAGAACATCCTGTAGCTTACCTCAGCAGAAAGTTATTACCCAGGGACGTAAGCTATGCCGCCATCAAAAAGGAGTGTCTGTGGTGTGTGGGCTCTTAAAAAACGTCAGCCATACATCTATGGACAACAGTTTACCCTACTCATGGATCACAACCCATTTGGTATTGCTTAACCGGGTCGCTGGGGACAACGCCAGGCTGTTACGTTGGAGCCTGGCCTTACAGCCATATGACTTTACCATCCATTATTCACCCGGTAAGAAAAATGGGAAGCCAACGAGTTATTACGGCAAACAGTACTCCCTTGGATATCCCCAAGCCAATCCGTAAGGATCAGACTGTGTATGCCGGCTTGTAATTAAGGGGGAGCTGTGTGGCAGAACATACTATTCCTTTCCACTGTTTTACTTTTTTATACCCCATAAGAACCTTCACACCAGTGAACCTAAGTGCGAAACCTCAAGAGAAATAATTAACTAATGCTTCCATTGTTGGCCACCATATTGTGTAACCGAATACACGTGGTTGACAAAAGAATAGTGGACATTTTGTCTCCAGAAAGCGGGCAGTGGTACTTGGTCATCGATTGCCTGGAACTCTGTTCAGCTAGGCACTTGCACGAACTCCGGCAAAGATTATACTGCTGCCCGTCCCAATTCACAACTAGCTATTCGAACAATGTTCGGGAGATGAGAACTACCGACTGGAGGGAGCATTCGCTCCCTGAAACCAAGGGAATACCTTATACGATGTTCGGACAGGCCGGGACACCTATTTTTCTGGAACATTTTTGGGCTTTAACCTCATGGCCAGCCAGGAACTCATTTATTGGCAGCCACAACTGGCCTTATATGCAGGTACCCATGTAAGGACCTGAGAGTAGACTACAGTAAAAACATGCACACAATTACATTGGCTCTCAGGTCCAGTACACTCCCATAAAAGATAAGATAATCCCTCCCCTGTGTCTGAGAGATAATTGCATCAAGGACTGTACTAAACTCAATTATCTCCAGGCACAGAAAACATAAAAAGAATAAAATAAAAACCTTTAAAAACTGCATAAAACCCCCTAAAAGTCACATCTCCTGATAGCCCTGATTTGAGTGACCAACATATCCAAAGATCACCCAGATCGGTTCTGGGGTTCAGGATTTTCCTGGAAGTCCTAATTTGACAGACCGCACGCATGGTCCTATGCCCAAAATAGTTCCATAGAATCGGCTAAGTGCCGCTGGGGACCGAAAATAGTTCCAGGGCATTCGCAGCCCCCCGAAGTCTATTCGCGGTTTTGGTCCATGCGAACGGCTGCCTGGGAGCTAGTGTTCGGTTCTATATGCATGAATGGAAAGTGTTGAACCAGGGGGAATAAAATATGGGTCTTTACAGTCGTTGACTTGGCCCATAGGCGGTGGGCAAGAGGCTGATACCTCTCCCTATACAACCAAGCATTCTACTAGCATTTTCTGCTGCTTTATTACATTTTCTAAGAGCTTGAAGGAGTTACTGGCAGCTGTCTACCACATTGGGGACCAAGCCTATTCGAGGCTATAAACGCAAGTCTGCACAATATAGACATAAATCCTATTGTGCCAATTATTTTGTGTGTTTTTTTTTACTAGTTTGTGTGTTAATAAATTTACACTATGAGATTTTTTTCCTTTTGTTTTTACATGTTACCAATTCCCTTTGAGCGGTAAATATAACTACACGAGTGATTGTGGTGCCCAATGATTGGTTAAGCCTTCTATTGGTAATAACTGGCTTACGTAGTTAAGGTGCCCCTTCTAATGTGGAAAAATACAGCTTTGTTGAAAAACCAAGCTATTTGGAGACTGACTTGGAAATAGGGCTCAATTCCCCTTTAAATATATATTTATTCAAATAACCTGTGTTTAAGAAGGGATTTCGATTATGACTCACCGACAGTTATTATCAAAGTAAGTATCATTCATCTACAGCTTAAAAGAGCACTCCTGCGGTAAAACAAATAACAATTTGGAAAATATACCCCAATGGAAACATGCATGCCTTTATTTATGTATGTTTTCATTGCATTATATCTAAAAGCATCTTGCAAAAGCTGCAAATCTGCTGTCTGCAGCCAGGAGGGTTTTCCTAGCATAGACCTTTTTGTGGCTGTCCACAGTCAGAGCACAGACTTCCCAAAGCAGCTCAATGAGAACTCTGTGTAAGGTAGGCGCTCTGGGTAATTGCTGCCTCTTGAGTTTATCTCCACTTAATTAAACAAACCAGGTAGTAACAGGACCGGTTGTCTCACAGCCAAGAGGCTGTAACATGGTTAATTTATAAATGTTTCAATTCATGTTGAAATCTGCACTTTTTGTAAAATGAAAAAAGAGGACACACTCAGGGGTAGGCAACCTATGGCACGTGCGCCATGCATGGCACTCGAGGTGTCTTTCCACAGCACTCAAGGCTGCTAGAGCCAAACAGGCTCTGGCCTATCAGGAGTCCCAGTGAAATTTCAGATATCTGCTAATATGAAAAGGTAGTGAATCCTCAATTTATGCATTGCAGCACATAGAGGAAGTGAGCTCAGATCATTTCCTCCCAGCACTTGTGAATGGGAATCCACACTGGAGTAGAGCAGCCCTGCGGTTCCTGTCCTTGACCTGTACCTGGCCAGCCTGGTCCCCACTGGAACTGAGGGAAACCACCCACACTGCTAGATATACACAGAAAGGCAGAATAACCCTCCCCTCATACCAATAATATGAACAGCCCACAAACAAACACACTCACAATCCGCACAAACGTAAAACAACTAACAATCTACGTACATACACACAACCCAACATGAATGCCTTGCACATGCAATACCCGAAACAGACCCACACATACACACACTACCAAATACACAATGTGACATATCCATCCACACACACAATTCCACAAGCAGCCCCCATACATAAGTATCATACACAATACCACAAACTACTCATGGACATATACAATATAATAGCTCATATACGCACAAATACAATGATACAAAGCAACTACAGTATAAATAACACAAGCAGGATACGGCAACATGCACACCTCAATTTTAAAAAAATTGGACCAGCACGCTACTGGACATCACAATCCTATTTCGGCACAGTGTAGGAAGCAAAATCGTACTAAAATGGTTTGTCTTCTTACTATGGGGTAGGAGTCTTCTGGCATCACTACAAAATGCAATAGTGTTTATAGTGCTTTGAACGTTCCTTTAACACACACACTGTTTAACCAACACACACTTACACTGAAGCACACACACACTCACTGACGGATGGACACATCCACCGACAGACACACATACACACTCACTGACAAACACACATACTCTTTGACAGACACACATACAAAAAACACATACTCTTTGTCAGACACACATACAAACTCACTGACAAACACATATACACTCTTACTGACAAACACACACTCACTGACAAACACACATACACACTTACTGACAAACACACATACACACTCATCGACAAACACACCTACACACCTTTTTAAAAACACGCATACACACTGACAAACACACATACACTCTTAATGACAAACACATATACACTCTTACTGACAAACACACACATACACTCTTACTGTCAAACACATACACACTCACTGACAAACACACATGCACAGTTACTAACACGCACAAACTCATTACGAGACATACATGAAAAATATATATATTTTTAATTTCACTCCACCCAGCCTCCCTACCTTTGGGAGTGCTGGTATGTTTCCCTGTGGTCCAGTGGGGCCGCTGGGCTGAGCGGCTGGCGTGTGGTCCCTGGGGTCCAGTGGGGCTGCTGAGGTACTTGTTTTGGGGTACTTGTATATTTTTATGTTTTGTGTTGGGTTCTCTGTTCCTGAGACAAAATTAGCTTACCGGTCTTTAACTCAATTATCTCCCAGGCCAAGAGATTCCTGGGAGGGGCTTGTGTTGAATACAATGGAGACCCCATGCTGGGGTCCGTGCATAAAAGGCCGAGTTTGACTCATTAAAATCAGTTTTACTCCCAGAGCTATGTTTCGTCTAGTTACTGGGAGAGGAAAGGGCTAATTACTGCTCAGCACCTTGTTCCAGCTCGTGGAGGATTTGGTGGGGAAAGTCCTTGTATGGACTACAGCTCCCAGAACTGTGTGTTGTCCAGACCATGGGTGGGAATAGAGCTAGTTTCCTATCCTGTTCCAGTATGGAGAGGCTCCAGGGGGACCCCAGTCAAGCCAGGGCGATGTAGTGTTGGTGTTTCAATGCAGGAGTGTGTTTGTGTGCATTTTTGGTATTTGAATGCGGAGATGTTTGCACTACCACACACACACATTGATAGATATGTACACACAGGTAAATTTACACATACACTTATACAGATATGTGCACACACTCAGATATACACAGTCACTCAGGTACACACACACACACACAAATAACAATTAACATAATTTTAGCCACCCTCCTATTTTTTTACCGTTTGGGTGCAGGAGGGTGGCTTTCCACGGCTGAAGGGAGTCTGAAGTTCCTGGCTTTTCTCTTCCTACCAGCAATCCGCAGGGAGGAGAAGGGGGGAACAAACGCTGTGACGGGCCTAGTCCAGTGCTATATTAACTCGCCCCTAATCTTAACTTCCCATGGGCCAAATTTGTGGGCTGTACGTTTGACACCCTACTTTCCTGTCATGCATTTCAGCATTAGCGAGGATTGTTTTGCTTTACAGAGGACACCTACTTACATTCTGTATAAGTTTTTGGTTAAATACTCTCTGCAGCTGCAGTTTTTTTCATTCTTAAACTGTATTTGTGGTTTTCTAGGAAGCAGATTAACTTCCTCATCACAATCCTGTTTCCTGTTTAGCCAATATTACAGACAGAAAATTAGCTTGAGATGTTGCTGAAGTTCACAGTAAATAAACCCAGCCGAAACAGACATAGATGAAATGACTTTATTTATCAGTATCTATTCTCATCTTTGTTTTTATTAACGTATATTGGATTTTAAATTTTTTTTAACATTTTTATCTGAATGGATCCATTTATTAAGTTGCTGGCAAGGTGATTGTAGAAGTTACATAGTAAAATGGTAATGTAGGTTGTAAATGACCCAAGTACATTCAGTTCAACTTTTTGCACATATCTGCTGTTTATCCAAAATAATGCAAAAGTCCTTACTGAATAAAACCATTTCCAGGTATGCAAAGAATGGAAAAAAATATATTTTTGATGTAAGAAGTGGCTTCACATTTTTTCTTCTTCATTCACTATTATGTCCTTGAATATTCACTGTAGTTGATATGCTGCTAGGTGTCTACTGGTACCCAAGTCAAACCATTGTAGAACAGTTTGACTTTTTACCTGGAGTCCACCGAGCACTGCTCCTCCTCCAATACAGGTGACAGTAGACAGCCGGAAGCTGACACACTCAGCCAATGAGCCAGTCCTGCTCAGGAGAGCTATCAGAAGCAAGACATTCTGGGTGTCTGGCAGATGTAGTGCGCGTAGTGAGCAGTACCCTTCTCCCCTTACCCCCTCATGTAGGAAGCAAAATCGTACTAAAATGGTTTGTCTTCTTACTATGGGGTAGGAGTCTTCTGGCATCACTACAATATGCTATAATGTTTATGGTGCTTGGAGCGTTCCCTTAATCTCTACAAATCTGATACAACAACTCTTGTATCATTGGGTAGAAAATCCATATTTAGCTTTATTACTGTAAAGAATCTCTTACTTTACGGCTATTGGGTCTTGGTACAGCATTGACAGGAATGCAGGTCCAGGCGACTTCATCTTTAACTTTAGGGATTTAGGAAACTTGGGGCAGGATTACTCTTAGACAAATGAGTGTAAAACCACAAATTAAAGTCACATCTATTAGCAGACACGAGGACTGATTTAAAAAAACAATAGGAATAGAATAACGTATAAACACTTTTCCCCACAAAATCATGGTGAATGAGTAACAAAGTGTAAACATTTTATTCATTTCTTACCAGCTGGATGGACAGCAACCCTTTTCAAACTGTATTTGTAATATCGCTATAAATAAATTGAGCCGTTTAGATCATTTAATATATTTTATTAAGTAGAAAAAGGGGCAATGATGGCATGTGACTGTTGGAGAACATATTTCATAGTGATTGAGTTGGGAAGGCTGTTTATTTGAGTCCGAGCTTGTAGATGTTTCACCAACGCACGCCAGCTATCACAGAGGTTCATACAGCACAGCTTGCATTGATTATTCTGGCCTGCTTTTGTAATCTTCCATGTGCGCTAGGATCCACCCGGAGGGAATCATGAAGACCATAAAGAGGACACCTAGGCCAATGCCTTGTTGCTGGAGAAGGGAATAAACAGAGTTTATGATAAGTAAAACAAGCATTTCCCACTTTTTTAAGGCCATTTGTATTTTATAATAGCCTCCACCGCCCACAGACCATTTGGTGGGGGCATAGGAGATGTGCAGTAATTCGTCCATTCCTTAATTACTTATTTTAAAGTCCCCCACCCTATGCAGTAATTGAAAAGAGTAAATCTGCACATTGCCAAATCGGTCAAAACTCAAGTTTAACCATATTTTTTACCTGATTATTTTCCACATGCAGTTGTTTAACCCGTCCGCTGCTCGAGGTGTAACTCGATTGGGACATTGGCTAATGTCAATTCTGTACATATTTGGTGTCTGACATCAGCACACACAGTAAGCTGGCAACAGACAGCCAATGATGGCAAGCCCTACCCTCAGCCTGTCCTTCCTGACGTCACTCATCATCAAGCGAGGGGGAAGTGACATCACTGGAAAAACTTGGCCTTTTTTTAGCCTTTCTTTCTTTCTTTTTCTTTTCCTTCTTTCTCCGGTATAGGAAGAGTTACTCTGACCAAATACAGTGATTTCTTAAAACACTGTTTTTTGATTGGAGTAACTGGTATAACGAATTATAACTTGTGTAGCAGACAACCTGAACTTAAAAACATGAGCAATCCTAATTCATGTTACCCACTAAACCACTAATTGTCAGAAATCCATCAAGGAATTACAGTAAATATTTGAGCTGGAAACACTGCGCTCTCGGAGCATGTTTCCATTTTGGATTATTTGGTCCAATATTTGCAATTCCCCATCATTTCATGATTAATAAATATTCTGTATTCTCATACAGTACCAAAGACATTAATGTATGCATCTTATATATCTTGACTGTTATATAACAAATCAATAAAAATCACAGGATTATGAATAATTATCTCTTTATACATCCAAAGTACACCTTTTTCTAGGAGTAAAATGGCCAATTGTACGGTTTGTTTGTTTTTTAAATATATTAATACACTTCTGTAATCCCCAGATTTAGTGTTCATAAGGGAGCTTGCGCAATATACAAACAGAATACTTATTTTATTGTGCAATCAGGAAATGCTACAATGTCCTGCTGTTGACATCTTTAAACTGTTGTTTTATGTCCTGGTTTTCTGATACAAGACTGCCTGCCTGCTTTCACTTAGAGATATTCGTTTAAAGGAAATTTATATCAGCAATGTTTTATAGAATCCAGTTAAATGTAGACACACACTTAAAGAAAATGTGTAATAAAATTAAATCTACAAATCGAGTTAACAATGCAACCAAATTTCAATGGCTAATGGATATTATATGCCTCTTATTGATTCATAATCTCTCCTCCATCTTTTTATTTTTATTAAGTGCTGCAAATCAGATCATGAATACTGTAACGGCTACCCGGGTAGAGTGAGGGTATCTGCCGTTGGAGACGTCCTTTTTCCCCTTTAAGCTGCTGTGGAGAAGTAAGCTGGTATAATCCCATCCACGATATCCAGAGTAAGAGTCAGGTTCAGCTGTAACAGGAGCAGAATAACATTCCCAAATAATCCCCTTCCAAGAACGAGACAAGGCTACGTTTTGAAGGGTCAAGAAGATCTGAGGACTGGAACACCCAGCCTGCTTTTTATTGGGATCAGGTACACACAGGATACTCCCAGGGGGAGGATAAAAACACCCAATCATATACCTGGTAACACCCCCACGTCTCCTCCCCTCAGATAACATATAACATAATTAAAACGTACAACATTTTACCCCAGTTCTGGATGTTCCCCAAAAACAGGGGGTACAGCTTTAAATCCGGGGTCGCTTGATAGCTCTCATTCAGGGGACCAACATGTCCAAAAATCAGCCCATTCGGATGAATGGTTCGGGAGATACAGAGTTCCAAAGTTTTGACCGACCGCACAGACCAACTAGCCGAAAATAGTTCCATGAGTTTTGGCCTTGCGGTCGGTCTCCGTTCGCCTGGTTAAAAGGTATGAAATTCTTGCCATCCATTCGAATCTCGGGGTTCGCCGCAATCCCCATAGATGATTGAACATAACTACCGAACGTCCGGTGATTCGGTAGTTTCCGTGCGAACTTCTGGAAGTATGGAGGACTCAGCGGTGTTCGCCTATTTGCGTATCCGATTTTAGTTCCACGCGTCGACAGGCAAACACCGCTGTTCGCACGTAAGATGGCCGCGGCTACGTGTAAAGTCCCGAAATGGCGGCCACCTATACTTTACACAGGGAATTCATGCGAATCCATTCGAATGGTTGCAATGCACTAAATGTGACGAATTCCTGCTGATTTTGGTTAGTTCACTGGCCCAGGCATACAGCATAGTTCTGTTACACTGCTCCCCTTTTGTGGAACACTCCGGCAGACCCGGATTGACCTTTTTCGGGTCAACTTGGGGCTGTCCGGTCTGCCTCTAAGGTAAAAGTTCTGTTTGCCTGGACAGTCCGTCTGCATTCCCATTGAACCGGCCTGGGCGATACTGGATGGAGAAATTATACGGTTGTAGGGCTAGGCTCCACCTCAGTAGTCGTCCATTGTCCCCAGCCACTCGGTTCAGCCACACTAGAGGGTTATGGTCTGTGATCAGGGTAAATTCCTGACCATAAAGGTAGGGGGTGAGCTTCTTTAGGGCCCAGACCAGGGCTAGACATTCTTTTTCCACTGCCGCATAACTCACTTCCCTGGGCAATAGCTTTCTACTCAGGTATGCGACAGGGTGTTCTCCCCCATCTTCTCCGACCTGGCTTAGCACTGCCCCCAGTCCGTACATGGACGCATCTGTGTGGACGACAAATCTTTTATTAGGGACGGGGGCAGACAAAACAGGTGCGTTGATCAGAGCTTGTTTCAGGGTTTGGAATGCTGCTTCACAGGCGGGAGACCACAGGACTACTCTAGGTAAATTTTTCTTCGTTAAATCGGTCAGAGGTTTGGCGATGGCGCTGTAGTCAGGGACAAATTTTCTGTAGTACCCTGCCGTTCCCAAGAAGGCTAATACCTGGGTCTTAGTGTGGGGAATGGGCCAATTCGCTACGGCCTCTACCTTGGCGGGTTCTGGTCGTTGTTTCCCACACCCCACTCTGTGTCCCAAGTACTGAACTTCAGCCATACCAAAGTTACATTTCTCTGGTTTCAGGGTTAGGCCGGCGGCCCTAATCTGATCCAGCACAGCCTCTACGTGTCGTAGGTGTTCTTCCCACGTCTCACTATAGATCGCAATGTCATCCAGGTACGCGCAAGCGAATTCCTGGAAGCCATCAAGGAGGCGGTCCACTAAGCGCTGAAAGGTAGCTGGGGCATTTTTCATCCCGAAAGGCATGACCTTGAACTGGTACAAGCCAAACGGGGTGACAAACGCCGACTTAGGGATAGCGTCCTTGGCCAGGGGGATCTGCCAGTACCCTTTGCACAAATCGATGGTGGTCAGATAGCGTCCCCTAGCAATACGATCTAATAGTTCGTCTACTCGGGGCATGGGGTATGCGTCTGTCACAGTTCTGTCGTTAAGGCGTCGGTAGTCGACACAAAATCGGGTCGTTCCGTCCTTTTTGGGGACTAGGACGACTGGGGATGCCCAGGGGCTGTCGGAGGGTTCTATAACTCCTAGCTTTAACATTTCCTGAATCTCCTTTCTCATCTCCTCTTTCACGGCTTCGGGAATTCTATAGGGAGTCTGTCGGAGAGGGTTTTGTCCTGGGGTCTCTACGTAATGTGTCGCTAAGGGTGTGTAACCGGGTTCCTGGGAAAACGTCAATCTTTTTGCAGCTAGCATCTGCTGGAGTTGCTCTCTTTCGGTGGGCGTTAGTCGCTCCCCTAGCTGTACAGTGTTCAGCAAAGTTTTAGACTCGGGGTTAGCTAGTAGATCCGGGATGGGGAGACTGTCCGGGTCCTCAGTGGCTGGGATACATATGGCTGCTATGTCTTCGGGCCTTTCCTGGTACTCTTTCAGTAAGTTTATATGGAAGGACTTCTGTATCCTCTCGTCCTTGCTACTGGCAATTACATAGGTGGTGTCACAGATCTGTGCGACCACCTTGTAAGGGCCTTGCCAGGAGGTTTGTAATTTGTTCCCTTTAACGGGTCTAAGTACTAGGACTTTCTGTCCCACCTGGAAGGTTCTCAATCTCGTGCCCCGATCGTACCAATGTTTCTGTCGGCCTTGGGCCGCCTGGAGATGCTCTCGGGCCATCCTGGTTAGGTGCCCCATGCGGTCCCGCATCTCCAGTACATATGGTACGATGGGGACCCCCTCATGTTCTGTCTCTCCCTCCCAGTGATCTCGGATCAGGTCGAGGGGGCCTCGTACCCGCCGTCCGTAGAGCAATTCGAATGGGGAGAACCCTGTGGATTCTTGCGGCACCTCTCGATATGCGAACAAGAGGTGTGGCAAGAATCGCTCCCAGTCCCGGTATTCCGCTGTAAAGGTACGCAGTAGTTGATTTAGGGTACCATTAAAGCGTTCACAGAGACCGTTAGTTTGAGGGTGGTACGGGGAACTAAGGAGGGATTGGACACCGCAGGCCTTCCATAAATGCTGAGTTAGGTCTGCGGTGAACTGGGTCCCTCGATCCGACAGGATTTCCCGGGGAAATCCTACTCTGGTGAAGATCCCAACTAGAGCACTGGCGACAGTGTCAGCCTGGATATTCGTCAGAGCGACGGCTTCTGGGTAGCGGGTAGCATAGTCTACTACAGTAAGAATATATTTCTTACCAGAGGGACTGGGGTTAGGTAGGGGTCCCACTAGGTCGACTGCCACCCTGCTAAATGGTTCCTCGATCACTGGCATGGGTAACAGTCGGGCTTTGGGGTGATCCCCTCTCTTTCCCACCCTCTGGCATACATCACAAGTGCTGCAGTAGCGGCGCACATCTTTCGAGATCCCTGGCCAAAAGAAGGTCTGGGTGATCCGGAAGGTTGTGCGGTTACCCCCTAGATGCCCTGCCAACGGAATGTCGTGGCCAATTCGGAGAAGCTCCCACCGGTACTTTCTGGGTACCACTAATTGGCGCTTCTGCGAGGGGGCACAGCCTCTCTTCCTGCCTTCGGTCAATCTGTATAGCCTGTCCCCCTCCCATACAAAACGTTCTCGCTCGTCCCCCCTACTGTCAGCTAGTTCCCTGTACTTTTGGAGGGTGGGGTCCTGCCTAGTTTCCCTCCCAAATTCTTCTGGGGTGTCCCAAGCTATGGGTCTCTCTGTCATGTTAGTGTGGGGTGTCTGCTTGTGGCTTACCTGGGTCTCCCGACCTGTTGTAGGATCGTCCTCGATACGGGTCTGTGAGCGGGTGGTCACGGGGCAAGCACCAGCAATAGTGGGTAAAAATGCTGAAGCTAGAGGGCCAATATCGTTGCCCAATACGACCTCGGCGGGTAGATTGTCCATGATGCCCACTGTGGTCTTTCCTGACCCGGCTCCCCAATCTAAGTGTATCCTGGCGGTGGGTAAGCGAAAAACAGCTCCCCCTGCGACACGAACAGCCACGGTACGATTTGACACATGTTCTGGTTTTACAAGGTGTTTCTGTATTAGGGTAATGGTAGCGCCAGTGTCTCTTAGGCCTTGTGCTATCTGTCCGTTCACACGCACCTCCTGACGGTGATGCTGACGATTATCTGGGGAAGCTGCTTGTATGGGGTTGGCCTCATATAATATTCCCAGGCACTCTTCAGGGCTTCCTTCAATTTCTAGGCAGTGAGCAGCCGCTGGACGTGGCGGTGTGCTCTCGGTGTTAGGTGGGCGCCTCCAGTTATTATTGGCTGATCCCAACGGGCAATACCGGGCAATATGTCCTGTGTTGCCGCAGCGATGGCACGTTACTTTGTAAGATTCCCGGGGATGGTTGTTATGCCCCTGGGGACGTGGAGGCCCTGGGGGTACTGGGGCCCGAAATTCTGTGCGTGCAGGGTAGGTTGTAGTGCGGGCCTCTGCTCTAGGGGCTGGTCGTGTGTTACTTTGGCTCACCTTCCTTGTCTCTGCATACTCATCTGCTAGTCGCGCTGCCTCAGTTAAATTGGCAGGGCGCCGATCTCTTACCCAGTCCTGTATATCTGCAGCCAGATCTTGAAAGAAATGTTCCATCAAGAACAACTGTAATATTTCTTCTCCGGTGTTAGCATTGCACCCTCGCACCCAGTGTGTTGCCACCCGTTGTATCTTGTTTGCCCATTCCATGTGGGAGTCCACTGCCTTCTTTTTGGACTCCCGGAAGCGACGGCGATATGCTTCTGGGGTGACCGCATATCGGGTGAGTAGTGCAGCTTTCACCCGTTGATACTGCGTTATATCTTCCGTAGTAAGTGCCCGAAAAGCCTCATTTGCTTTTCCTGAGAGCTTTCCAGCCAGAATAGTAACCCATTGGTCTGGTGGTACTTGGTGTAGCGAGCATTGTCTCTCAAAGTCCGCTAAATATCCGTCAATTTCTTCTTCATTCTCTACAAACGCTTTAAATGCAGTGAACGGTATTTTCCTCCCTGTAGCAGCGGGTGGGGGGGTAGGAACTGCCTGTGTAATGGGCTGTCTAGCTCTTACCAGTTCCGCTTCTTGTCCCCTCTTAGTTTGTATCTCCTCCCTTGTTTCCCGGAGCAGCTGGTTTATTAGCTCTGTGGATCTTTCTGGATACCAAGCTAATCTCCGCTGTACAATGGCAGAAATTTCATCGTCCTCGCTGACAGGTGCAAGAGGTTCTGTTACCTCCATGGACCTATCCATTTCGTACAGTTCTAGTAGGTCAGCTATCAGCTCCCTCCGTGGTCTGTTGCTGGCACTCCTACCACGACTCTCCAATAAATCCTTTAATGTGGGTCTTTTCAGCTTGGCGTACTGAGCCTCCATTCAGCACTTGTTCTCTGGATAAAAGGACCATCCCACCGCTGCCAACCAATGTAACGGCTACCCGGGTAGAGTGAGGGTATCTGCCGTTGGAGACGTCCTTTTTCCCCTTTAAGCTGCTGTGGAGAAGTAAGCTGGTATAATCCCATCCACGATATCCAGAGTAAGAGTCAGGTTCAGCTGTAACAGGAGCAGAATAACATTCCCAAATAATCCCCTTCCAAGAACGAGACAAGGCTACGTTTTGAAGGGTCAAGAAGATCTGAGGACTGGAACACCCAGCCTGCTTTTATTGGGATCAGGTACACACAGGATACTCCCAGGGGGAGGATAAAAACACCCAATCATATACCTGGTAACACCCCCACGTCTCCTCCCCTCAGATAACATATAACATAATTAAAACGTACAACATTTTACCCCAGTTCTGGATGTTCCCCAAAAACAGGGGGTACAGCTTTAAATCCTGGGTCGCTTGATAGCTCTCATTCAGGGGACCAACATGTCCAAAAATCAGCCCATTCGGATGAATGGTTCGGGAGATACAGAGTTCCAAAGTTTTGACCGACCGCACAGACCAACTAGCCGAAAATAGTTCCATGAGTTTTGGCCTTGCGGTCGGTCTCCGTTCGCCTGGTAAAAAGGTATGAAATTCTTGCCATCCATTTGAATCTCGGGGTTCGCCACAACCCCCATAGATGATTGAACATAACTACCGAACGTCCGGTGATTCGGTAGTTTCCGTGCGAACTTCTGGAAGTATGGAGGACTCAGCGGTGTTCGCCTGTTTGCGTATCCGATTTTAGTTCCACGCGTCGACAGGCAAACACCGCTGTTCGCACGTAAGATGGCCGCGGCCACGTGTAAAGTCCCGAAATGGCGGCCACCTATACTTTACACAGGGAATTCATGCGAATCCATTCGAATGGTTGAAATGCACTAAATGTGACGAATTCCTGCTGATTTTGGTTAGTTCACTGGCCCAGGCATACAGCATAGTTCTGTTACACTGCTCCCCTTTTGTGGAACACTCCGGCAGACCCGGATTGACCTTTTTCGGGTCAACTTGGGGCTGTCCGGTCTGCCTCTAAGGTAAAAGTTCTGTTTGCCTGGACAGTCCGTCTGCATTCCCGTTGAACCGGCCTGGGCGATACTGGATGGAGAAATTATACGGTTGTAGGGCTAGGCTCCACCTCAGTAGTCGTCCATTGTCCCCAGCCACTCGGTTCAGCCATACTAGAGGGTTATGGTCTGTGATCAGGGTAAATTCCTGACCATAAAGGTAGGGGGTGAGCTTCTTTAGGGCCCAGACCAGGGCTAGACATTCTTTTTCCACTGCCGCATAACTCACTTCCCTGGGCAATAGCTTTCTACTCAGGTATGCGACAGGGTGTTCTCCCCCATCTTCTCCGACCTGGCTTAGCACTGCCCCCAGTCCGTACATGGACGCATCTGTGTGGACGACAAATCTTTTATTAGGGACGGGGGCAGACAAAACAGGTGCGTTGATCAGAGCTTGTTTCAGGGTTTGGAATGCTGCTTCACAGGCGGGAGACCACAGGACTACTCTAGGTAAATTTTTCTTCGTTAAATCGGTCAGAGGTTTGGCGATGGCGCTGTAGTCAGGGACAAATTTTCTGTAGTACCCTGCCGTTCCCAAGAAGGCTAATACCTGGGTCTTAGTGTGGGGGTGGGCCAATTCGCTACGGCCTCTACCTTGGCGGGTTCTGGTCGTTGTTTCCCACACCCCACTCTGTGTCCCAAGTACTGAACTTCAGCCATACCAAAGTTACATTTCTCTGGTTTCAGGGTTAGGCCGGCGGCCCTAATCTGATCCAGCACAGCCTCTACGTGTCGTAGGTGTTCTTCCCACGTCTCACTATAGATCGCAATGTCATCCAGGTACGCGCAAGCGAATTCCTGGAAGCCATCAAGGAGGCGGTCCACTAAGCGCTGAAAGGTAGCTGGGGCATTTTTCATCCCGAAAGGCATGACCTTGAACTGGTACAAGCCAAACGGGGTGACAAACGCCGACTTAGGGATAGCGTCCTTGGCCAGGGGGATCTGCCAGTACCCTTTGCACAAATCGATGGTGGTCAGATAGCGTCCCCTAGCAATACGATCTAATAGTTCGTCTACTCGGGGCATGGGGTATGCGTCTGTCACAGTTCTGTCGTTAAGGCGTCGGTAGTCGACACAAAATCGGGTCGTTCCGTCCTTTTTGGGGACTAGGACGACTGGGGATGCCCAGGGGCTGTCGGAGGGTTCTATAACTCCTAGCTTTAACATTTCCTGAATCTCCTTTCTCATCTCCTCTTTCACGGCTTCGGGAATTCTATAGGGAGTCTGTCGGAGAGGGTTTTGTCCTGGGGTCTCTACGTAATGTGTCGCTAAGGGTGTGTAACCGGGTTCCTGGGAAAACGTCAATCTTTTTGCAGCTAGCATCTGCTGGAGTTGCTCTCTTTCGGTGGGCGTTAGTCGCTCCCCTAGCTGTACAGTGTTCAGCAAGGTTTTAGACTCGGGGTTAGCTAGTAGATCCGGGATGGGGAGACTGTCCGGGTCCTCAGTGGCCGGGATACATATGGCTGCTATGTCTTCGGGCCTTTCCTGGTACTCTTTCAGTAAGTTTATATGGAAGGACTTCTGTATCCTCTCGTCCTTGCTACTGGCAATTACATAGGTGGTGTCACAGATCTGTGCGACCACCTTGTAAGGGCCTTGCCAGGAGGTTTGTAATTTGTTCCCTTTAACGGGTCTAAGTACTAGGACTTTCTGTCCCACCTGGAAGGTTCTCAATCTCGCGCCCCGATCGTACCAATGTTTCTGTCGGCCTTGGGCCGCCTGGAGATGCTCTCGGGCCATCCTGGCTAGGTGCCCCATGCGGTCCCGCATCTCCAGTACATATGGTACGATGGGGACCCCCTCATGTTCTGTCTCTCCCTCCCAGTGCTCTCGGATCAGGTCGAGGGGGCCTCGTACCCGCCGTCCGTAGAGCAATTCGAATGGGGAGAACCCTGTGGATTCTTGCGGCACCTCTCGATATGCAAACAAGAGGTGTGGCAAGAATCGCTCCCAGTCCCTGTATTCCGCTGTAAAGGTACGCAGTAGTTGCTTTAGGGTACCATTAAAGCGTTCACAGAGACCGTTAGTTTGAGGGTGGTACGGGGAACTAAGGAGGGATTGGACACCGCAGGCCTTCCATAACTGCTGAGTTAGGTCTGCGGTGAACTGGGTCCCTCGATCCGACAGGATTTCCCGGGGAAATCCTACTCTGGTGAAGATCCCAACTAGAGCACTGGCGACAGTGTCAGCCTGGATATTCGTCAGAGCGACGGCTTCTGGGTAGCGGGTAGCATAGTCTACTACAGTAAGAATATATTTCTTACCAGAGGGACTGGGGTTAGGTAGGGGTCCCACTAGGTCGACTGCCACCCTGCTAAATGGTTCCTCGATCACTGGCATGGGTAACAGTCGGGCTTTGGGGTGATCCCCTCTCTTTCCCACCCTCTGGCATACATCACAAGTGCTGCAGTAGCGGCGCACATCTTTCGAGATCCCTGGCCAAAAGAAGGTCTGGGTGATCCGGAAGGTTGTGCGGTTACCCCCTAGATGCCCTGCCAACGGAATGTCGTGGCCAATTCGGAGAAGCTCCCACCGGTACTTTCTGGGTACCACTAATTGGCGCTTCTGCGAGGGGGCACAGCCTCTCTTCCTGCCTTCGGTCAATCTGTATAGCCTGTCCCCCTCCCATACAAAACGTTCTCGCTCGTCCCCCCTACTGTCAGCTAGTTCCCTGTACTTTTGGAGGGTGGGGTCCTGCCTAGTTTCCCTCCCAAATTCTTCTGGGGTGTCCCAAGCTATGGGTCTCTCTGTCATGTTAGTGTGGGGTGTCTGCTTGTGGCTTACCTGGGTCTCCCGACCTGTTGTAGGATCGTCCTCGATACGGGTCTGTGAGCGGGTGGTCACGGGGCAAGCACCAGCAATAGTGGGTAAAAATGCTGAAGCTAGAGGGCCAATATCGTTGCCCAATACGACCTCGGCGGGTAGATTGTCCATGATGCCCACTGTGGTCTTTCCTGACCCGGCTCCCCAATCTAAGTGTATCCTGGCGGTGGGTAAGCGAAAAACAGCTCCCCCTGCGACACGAACAGCCACGGTACGATTTGACACATGTTCTGGTTTTACAAGGTGTTTCTGTATTAGGGTAATGGTAGCGCCAGTGTCTCTTAGGCCTTGTGCTATCTGTCCGTTCACACGCACCTCCTGACGGTGATGCTGACGATTATCTGGGGAAGCTGCTTGTATGGGGTTGGCCTCATATAATATTCCCAGGCACTCTTCAGGGCTTCCTTCAATTTCTAGGCAGTGAGCAGCCGCTGGACGTGGCGGTGTGCTCTCGGTGTTAGGTGGGCGCCTCCAGTTATTATTTACTGATCCCAACGGGCAATACCGGGCAATATGAGATGTGTTGCCGCAGCGATGGCACGTTACTTTGTAAGATTCCCGGGGATGGTTGTTATGCCCCTGGGGACGTGGAGGCCCTGGGGGTACTGGGGCCCGAAATTCTGTGCGTGCAGGGTAGGTTGTAGTGCGGGCCTCTGCTCTAGGGGCTGGTCGTGTGTTACTTTGGCTCACCTTCCTTGTCTCTGCATACTCATCTGCTAGTCGCGCTGCCTCAGTTAAATTGGCAGGCCGCCGATCTCTTACCCAGTCCTGTATATCTGCAGCCAGATCTTGAAAGAAATGTTCCATCAAGAACAACTGTAATATTTCTTCTCCGGTGTTAGCATTGCACCCTCGCACCCAGTGTGTTGCCACCCGTTGTATCTTGTTTGCCCATTCCATGTGGGAGTCCACTGCCTTCTTTTTGGACTCCCGGAAGCGACTGGCGATATGCTTCTGGGGTGACCGCATATCGGGTGAGTAGTGCAGCTTTCACCCGTTGATACTGCGTTATATCTTCCGTAGTAAGTGCCCGAAAAGCCTCATTTGCTTTTCCTGAGAGCTTTCCAGCCAGAATAGTAACCCATTGGTCTGGTGGTACTTGGTGTAGCTAGCATTGTCTCTCAAAGTCCGCTAAATATCCGTCAATTTCTTCTTCATTCTCTACAAACGCTTTAAATGCAGTGAACGGTATTTTCCTCCCTGTAGCAGCGGGTGGGGGGTAGGAACTGCCTGTGTAATGGGCTGTCTAGCTCTTACCAGTTCCGCTTCTTGTCCCCTCTTAGTTTGTATCTCCTCCCTTGTTTCCCGGAGCAGCTGGTTTATTAGCTCTGTGGATCTTTCTGGATACCAAGCTAATCTCCGCTGTACAATGGCAGAAATTTCATCGTCCTCGCTGACAGGTGCAAGAGGTTCTGTTACCTCCATGGACCTATCCATTTCGTACAGTTCTAGTAGGTCAGCTATCAGCTCCCTCCGTGGTCTGTTGCTGGCACTCCTACCACGACTCTCCAATAAATCCTTTAATGTGGGTCTTTTCAGCTTGGCGTACTGAGCCTCCATTCAGCACTTGTTCTCTGGATAAAAGGACCATCCCACTGCTGCCACCAATGTAACGGCTACCCGGGTAGAGTGAGGGTATCTGCCGTTGGAGACGTCCTTTTTCCCCTTTAAGCTGCTGTGGAGAAGTAAGCTGGTATAATCCCATCCACGATATCCAGAGTAAGAGTCAGGTTCAGCTGTAACAGGAGCAGAATAACATTCCCAAATAATCCCCTTCCAAGAACGAGACAAGGCTACGTTTTGAAGGGTCAAGAAGATCTGAGGACTGGAACACCCAGCCTGCTTTTTATTGGGATCAGGTACACACAGGATACTCCCAGGGGAGGATAAAAACACCCAATCATATACCTGGTAACACCCCCACGTCTCCTCCCCTCAGATAACATATAACATAATTAAAACGTACAACATTTTACCCCAGTTCTGGATGTTCCCCAAAAACAGGGGGTACAGCTTTAAATCCTGGGTCGCTTGATAGCTCTCATTCAGGGGACCAACATGTCCAAAAATCAGCCCATTCGGATGAATGGTTCGGGAGATACAGAGTTCCAAAGTTTTGACCGACCGCACAGACCAACTAGCCGAAAATAGTTCCATGAGTTTTGGCCTTGCGGTCGGTCTCCGTTCGCCTGGTAAAAAGGTATGAAATTCTTGCCATCCATTCGAATCTCGGGGTTCGCCGCAATCCCCATAGATGATTGAACATAACTACCGAACGTCCGGTGATTCGGTAGTTTCCGTGCGAACTTCTGGAAGTATGGAGGACTCAGCGGTGTTCGCCTGTTTGCGTATCCGATTTTAGTTCCACGCGTCGACAGGCAAACACCGCTGTTCGCACGTAAGATGGCCGCGGCCACGTGTAAAGTCCCGAAATGGCGGCCACCTATACTTTACACAGGGAATTCATGCGAATCCATTCGAATGGTTGCAATGCACTAAATGTGACGAATTCCTGCTGATTTTGGTTAGTTCACTGGCCCAGGCATACAGCATAGTTCTGTTACAAATACCTTTACGGAATTTTACTTCTGAACAGTGTTTCACATAGAAATTTTGCCAGAACGTTTACTGTGTCATTCAGTGAACCTAGTCACAGTGCTTATTGCACATTTGTGTGCTCTTTATTTTGGGCACAATACATGTTAAAGGGACACTATAGGCACCCAGACCCAGGGCCAGATTAAGAGCCCAGTGGGCCTGGTGCTGACAATTATGACGGGCCTAATTACAGAATCATATCGACCAAAAACAGTAAAACACTCCCAAGAGTCATGTATCTGATGGAGATGGTGCTGGAGAGAAAGAAAACAGCAGATAAAAGAAAACATATACCCTAGGCTAATCTCTCACTAATTTATGTTTTCATCTTTCAAGTAAATCCATAACCCTTAACAGCAGTGTCCAGTCAAGCAGGAAGTCAATGGGCACTGTAAAAGTGTGTGCCACTGACACAAATCACGGAACCTGCCAAAAGGGGAGAACATGCCCCAAAAGAGGATATGTCTGCCCAAAGAATTAGAAGGCCAGCCTGGTATGAATGCATGTCAGGCTGCCTGCCAATCATGCAGCTGGCCAACTAAGGGCATACTATGCAGACAGCACCCTGAGCTTGGCATAAATGCATCTAATGATGCGCTCGCTCAACGCTTTCTAAGGACTGTCCCCTAGCACTCGCTGGTCCACTTGTCCCCTTACCTTCTTACTAGCAGGCAGAAGCTCCTGGTATATAGTTTGGGACAGAGAAAAGCTGTATGTAGTGAGTGTAGAAGAAAGGGAACATGCCACAGGGTTAGAGAGAACAAAGTCAGCATTACCTTAAAGGACCACTCTAGACACCCAGACCACTTCAGCTTAATGAAGTGGTCTGGGTGCCAGGTCCCTCTAGGATTAACCCTTTTTTTTATAAACCTAGCAGTTTCAGAGAAACTGCTATGTTTATAAATGGTTTAATCCAGCATCTAAAGCCTCTAGTGGCTGTCTCATTGACAGCCGCTAGAGGCGTTTGCGTGCTTCTCACTGTGAAAATCACAGTGAGAAGACGTCAGCGTCCATAGGAAAACATTATAAATGCTTTCCTATGAGACAGGCTGAATGTGCGCGCAGCTCCTGCCGAAGAAGAGGATGGGAGGCGGAGAGGAGGAGGAGAGCTCCCCGCCCGGCGCTGGAAAAAAGGTAAGTTTAACCCCTTTCCTCTCCCCAGAGCCCGGCGGGAGGGGGTCCCTGGGGGTGGGGGCACCCTCAGGGCACTAAAGTGCCAGGAAAGCAAGTATGTCAGGAACACAAACATGAATTCATGTCCCTATAGTGTTAACACCACCATCTAGCCCCCCCTGGGCCCCTCATGCCTCCATAAATATAGCAAAATTTTACTGTATTCAAGCCTGAAGCTGTAACTCTGCATGCTGTTAGACTCAGAAAAACAAGCAGTCTGCTGACATCATTAGAGGTGCTGGCCTAATCCAATCACAGTGCTTCCCCATAGGATTGGCTGAGACTGACAAGGAGGTAGATCGGGGCAGAGCCAGCATGATTCAAACACAGCCCTGGCCAATCAGCATCTCCTCATAGAGATAAATTGAATCAATGAATCTCTATGAGGAAAGTTCAGTGTCTGCATGCAGAGGGAGGAGATACTGAATGTTTGGATGCATTTTAGGCAGCCATGACCCAGGAAGGATCTCTAACAGCCATCTAAGGAGTGGCCAGTGAAGTTATCACTAGGCTGTAATGTAAACACTGCATTTTCTCAGAAAAGACAGTGTTTACAGCAAAAAGCCTGACGGTAATGATTCTACTCACCAGAACAAATTCAATAAGCTGTAGTTGTTCTGGTGACTCTAGTGTCCATTTAACTATATTCATTGCCAGCCAGTCCACACAAGTTTTGTTCCCATACATCCCTCTTAAGTTTCCATACTTAAGTAAGAGTATGTGAAAAGTAGTTAGGGTTGCCACCTTTTTTGGAAAAACATACTGGCCTTGCTAATTTGCATAATTAAATATGTATGGGTGACATCACATGATGTAAATCACAAGGAGTGACATAAGAGAAAATATAGATGCATTCCTCTCAGTGGCCCCATGTCTCCCAGTGCCTCCATTTGTCGATTACTCCAGGTCTCAGTGTTCCTATGCATCAGTGTCTCAGTGCCCCATGTCTCCCAGTGTACCCTAGTGTCGTGTCCCCAGGTCTCCCAGTGATCCTATGTATCACAGTGTCTCAATGCCCCATGTCTCCCTGTGTCCCCATGTATCCCAGGGTCCCCATGTCACAAGGAATACGGGATGACCTGGGGACACGGGGAGACCTAGGGACACGGAGACACCAGTGACACTGGGAGACTAGGGGGCTCTGGCTGGGACGCATGGGGACACTGGGAAAATAGGGGACACTTGAAGACATGGGGACACAGACACCAGGGACACAGACACTAGAGACACTGGCTGGGGGACATGGGGACATTGAGACATGGGGGCACTGGGAGACATGGGGACAAGGAGACACCAGGGCCACAGACACTAGGGACACTAGCTTGGAGACATGGGGACATTGAGACACTTGAGGCACTAGGAGACATGGGGACAGTGAGGCACTGGCAGACTGGGGGCACTGAGAGACATGTGGACACTGTGTGTCATAATGTCTCCCAATGTCCCTTAATGTCTCAGTGTCCCCATGTCTCCTTGCAGCCTTTCCCCCATACCTTACTTCCCTGGGCTGTCTCTGCAGGGTGGGAGTTGCTGTCTGGACTCTCTGTAGCTACACCCCTGCAGATCAGTGAGTATAGATAGGCAGGGAGGGATATGCTGTAACTTCCTATCCCTGCCTTTCTCCACACACACAGCGACCCCTACTGGCCAGTGCTGGTATTGCATAGTAATCTCTTTTTACTGAGAAAAATACCAGCATTTGTATTGCCAGTATCACTGTAATATTGGCACCAGCCAGGAAGCCAAATACTGGCTGTGTCAATAAAATAAAAGCCAGGCGGAATCCCTAAGAGTAGTGTGTGGGAAAAAAAAAATGTTAAAAAAAAATAAAAAAAAATATTTTATTATTTTTTTAAATAAAATCAATGGGCCTATTCCATGGGCCTGGGCCTGGAGCTGCAGCTCCATCAGCCCCTATGTTAATCCGGCCCTGCCCAGACCACTTGGTCCACTTAATCCTGCAAATGAAATCTAGCAGTTTCAGAGAAACTGCAATGTTTACGTTACAGGGTTAAGACAATCCATAGTGGTTGTTCCCTAGACAGTCACTAGAGGTGTTCCCTGCATTCTAACAGAGTTTATCTCCATGAACGATGTTGGACGTCCTTACGCTTTGCAAGAAGATGTCCAGTGTCTTAATTGATTCAATGTTTTTCTGTGGGGAAGCCCTAAGCGCGTGCGGCACTTGCCACGCATGTGCAATAGGTTCCCCCATCACCGTGACGTCACCGATGGAGGAGACCGATCCATCGCCAAGGGACCTTGTTGCTGGAAAGAGGTACGTGTAAAATGGCTTGTAGGAAAGGGACACTATAGCATCAGTGTTCCTTTAAGGAGAATCTTATTAAAGGCACACTATAGTCACCTAAACAACTTTAGCTTAATGAAGCAGTTTTAGTGTATACATCATGCCTCTTAGGTTTCACTGCTCAATTCACTGTCATTTAGGAGTTAAATCACTTTGTTTCTGTTTATGCAGCCCTAGCCACACCTCCCCTGGCTATGACTGACAGAGCCTGCATGGAAAAAAACTGGTTTCACTTTCAAACAGATGTAATTTACCTTAAAGGACCGCTCTAGGCACCCAGAGAGAGCACTAAGGGACAGAGGGGTAGGGGAGTATGTGTGTGTCAGTGTGTGTATCTGTGAGTGTCTGTATATCTGTGAGTATGTGTGTGTCAGTGTGTGTATCTGTGAGTGTCAGTGTGTATAATTGCCGTGTTGTCAAAAAAAGTTGGTTTGTATTGCAGGTTGGGCACTCAGGCTAAACAATGTTCGCCATCACTGTTCTAGGACATCACAAGAGCCACGGGATAATTACTAAGGATCTACAAGCATCTGATACCTTGTCTAGTGGTCGTGCAAATAATCGAAGAGTGGTATGCATGTAAAGATGCCAAGTATTGCTGAAAGTACTGCTGCTCAAACATAAAATTGTTGCACGTCTCATGTCTATTAAAGACCTCTTAGATGATCAAGACAACTATTAGCACATTTTCACAAAGCTGAGAATGACTGAACGTGAGTAAAGTAAAAAGTAAAGTAAAGTCGAGGAATAGGATATTCACATGTACAGTAATTTCAAATTCAAGTTAACAGAAAAATGTAAAAAGTTAAATTTGTGTCTGAATTTCCCACTTTCATCTTATTTGCCAATGGGCCATTCTTCCAATAGCTGTCTTTATCATCCAGATCATTTCTGATAAATTTGAGAAGGACTACAATTTTATTTTAGGAAACAATCGTTATTTCCTTGTTCTCCTTCAGATACTTTGGATTAATAAGAAGAAAGTGGACCAAATGTAAAATGTGTGGGAGGATTCTCTCTGTTCCCTGAAATAACAATGTATTGATCGTGTGTGCAAATAATGTTACATACACTGACATATTCAGTAATTCTGGGAGGGCAACTATCAGCGGAACGATTTGAAACATTTCCTGAATTATGTTATGAGCATTAATGGAAATGTCTTGACTGAAAAATACAGTTTTTAGCCTTATAAAAAGGCCTGTGTAACATTTTGAAAGTTATGTATGATTTGATTTGACGAAGGCTGATCAAGATTTTGTGGAAATAAAAAGAAGCCAGATTTTCTGGGGATTTAGTCTGCTCAAACAGGATTCCTGATGCCACCTTTTGGGTTTGCATTGGTCTGTCAGTTCTTTTACACCCTAAAAGACAGGTCTACGTATTGTCTTCTGGAGCTGATATTGGGTAATGGCATCAGAGGATGGAGTCAGACCTCTGAGCTTGTTGTTTCCCAAATACATGCATCTAACGCGTTGAACTGGGCATGATGTCTCGGTAGGTTAGGGGTTGAGCACATGCAGTTAAGTGTGCAGAGCCAGAATGTCTAGCATTGCACCAGAGATGGAATGGCAGTGCTAACTAATGATTATTATTATTTTATTTATATAGCACCATCAGATTCCATAGCGCTGTACAATGGCTGTGCCAGAAGATACACAGTATTATGAATGTGGTAATGTATACATTCACAGTGTAATGGTCAGCCATATAGCATTACTACAGTTGTGCTCAATAAAAAGTATGATTTGAATCCAGAACAAAAGGAGAACTAATGCGATGGATATTTAATTTATGTGATGGGAGTTTCCAAGTCCCTGTTGGACACATGCCTGTAATTGTTTTGTCACATCCATTTTCAAGCATTAAACCCCTAAGGTATTTATAGAAGGAATTAAGAAGTGTACAGCAGCTTGTCATTGCTCATTTAACTAGAATAGCAGGCTAGCTATTGGGGTTCCAAACATGTCAAACCTCTAATCTAAACGGTTACACTTTGATTAAATTTCATCTCAACTAACTACAACACTTCCAGTATTCACAAAACAAAGAATTATGCAGAATTGCCAAGAAATTATAATCCAAAACAGATGATCTGGAAACTCTAGTTTTCTGGCTAGGCTATTTTGTCCTAAAATTGCACTGGTCATTCTCTACAATTATTTGGTTAGTGAAAAAACCCCCAGTAGATTTTACAGGAAGAAAGGTTTTTTTCTACTTTGGCCCTTCTGAAGTCAGGTTTTTCTAACAAACTGCCAATGGAGAACTGTATTTAGAGGGACACTATAGTCACACAACAACTATAGCTTAATGAAGCAGTTTTAGTGTATTGATCACACACCTGCAGTTTCACTGTTAAATTCTCTGGCAGTTAGGAGTTAAATCCCTTTGTTTATACAGCCCTAGTAACACCTCCCTGCATGTGACTTACACAGCTTTCCTAAACACTTCCTGTAAAGAGTCATCTAATGTTTACACTTTATTGCAAATAAATAAAAATCATAATAAATTGATTCCAAATCTATCCATGCTTCCTTTAACCTGTATATACTAGCATGCCACCCAACATTGGTAGCAGGTAGGAGAATGAAAAAATCTGAGCTGCCCCACTGAATGTGTGTTATAAGGAGGAGGGGTGACCTGTCCTATAGTATGTGTTATGGGGAAGGATTTGTGCTGTGTTTAGATTTGAACATATTCAATGTGAGTGTTCTGCTGCTCTGGTTTATATCAGAACACTCCTGTAAGTTTATATATACATGTGCACCGGGTGAAAACTGTTTATAAATTCCAAGCCTGGCTTTTTAACCCTTTGAGTGCCTTAGTTATGCTCATGTTTGCTCAACTCTGATATGCAAATGGTTAATGGCAAACCAGACCAAATACTCTCTGGTTTGAAACAACCTTTATTCCTCTTTGCTTCTAAAATAGAGGCCATAGTAATGCTGGCTTTTCATCTAACCCCAATGAAGTGAGAGTTTGTTAACAAGTGCAATCATGCAAAGCCTTGCTACAATGTTACAAGGCCAATTACTATTACAAGTTGCTGGCCGTTTTATGAATTAAGCAACGGACCCACTTTTTTTGGTGATAATATTCACTTTGACCAAGTATGGAATTAAATGTGGGTTTTCCTTAACACAATCCATTTCAACGGACAGTAAATTGATTTCATCCTAAAATCTAACACCACAAATTCCTTAGTAAATAGTTTGTTAATTAGAAGGTATTGCTCTCTGTGTTGAAATGGACACAAGGTTTGTGTCTTTGTTGCGCCTTGTTGCTATAAAGCTTTGGAAGATGATCTCCCTAAAAAAGCCCCATTTGCACAGCAGCTCCTGGCTATGACCTACTTCCAGGCTGTTATTCATTGAAAGAATGACAAGGTCACCGATTCTACAGTGAATGAGAACTGGCTTGTGGGTCTCTTTGAAATTTTTATACGTATAATATAATCCCCAACAAAGCTCACCCAGAGCTGATGATCAGTATTGGTTGAGAGATCTCTGCAATTTACTGAACATGGGTGGAGCTGATAATACAAGTGGTTTTGCAAACTTTTCATCTGATCTACATTGTACGTTTGCCAAAAAGAAATAGGGTTAGGTGCATTTAAACAAATGGATGTATATAATGTTTGCCTTTTGCAATTCTTTCAATATACATCTTTGTCCACGAATTGTAAAGTGCTGCGGAATTTATTGGTACTCTATAAATAATAATAATAATAATAATAATATACAGCATATGGCTGTGTGTGATGCAGATCTAAAGGTTGTGTGTGCTACTGCAACATATATGTTGAATTATTCGTAATGTAAGCAGACCTCTGTTCAATAATATAGGTCGGGGGTAGGCAAACCTTTCGGCAGCACTGTGCCGAAATAAGATTGTGATGGCCCGTAGCGTGCCAGACCTATTTTTTTTAAATTGAGGTGTGTATGTTGCTGTATTCTGCTTGTGTTATTTAAACTGCAGTTGCTTTGTATCGTTGTATTTGTGCGTGTATGAGCTATTATATTGTATATGTTCAGGAGTAGTTTGTCGTATCGTGTATGATACTTATGTATGGGGGCTGCTTGTGGAATTGTGTGTGTAGATGGATATGTCACATTGTGTGTTTGGTAGTGTGTGTATGTGTGGTGCTGTTTTGGGTATTGCATGTGAGAGGCTGCATGTGGGGTTGTGTGCATTGTTATTATTATTATGATATTTATAGAGCGCCGTCAAATTCCGCAGTGCTTTACAATGGGTGGACGAACAGACATGTAGTTGTAACCAGACAATTTGGACACACAGGAACAGAGGGATTGAGGGCCCTGCTCGGTGAGCTTACATGCTAGAGGGAGTGGGGTAAAATGACACAAAAAGGTAAGGATAGTATTAGACTAGTGACATTTGCAGAAGAGGAATCAGTCAGGAGCTATTAACAGTTTAATGGATACGCTTTTATGAAGAAGTGGGTTTTTAACGATTTTTTTGTAAGAGTGGAGACTGGGTGAGCATCTAACGGAGGAGGGAAGCGAGCTCCACAGGAACGGTGCAGCCCTCGCGAAATCTTGAAGGCGAGCATCAGAGGTGGGAGTACGGACAGAAGATAGACGTAAGTCTTCAGCAGATCGTAAGGGCCTAGACGGGACATACTTGTATATAAGGGAGGATATATAGGTGGGAGCAGCATTATGTAGAAATTTGAAAGCAAGAACCAGAATTTTAAATTGAGCTCTATATTTTATAGGAAGCCAATGTAGGGACTGACAGAAGGGTGAGGCATGGGAGGTGCGGGCGGACAGGAAGATGAGCCTCGCCGCCGCATTCATTATGGACTGTAACGGTGCTAGTTGGGAGCACGTAAGACCACTGAGAAGTGGATTACAGTAGTCAAGGCGAGAAAGGACAGTGGAATGGACCAACACCTTAGTCGCATCTGGCATTAAGTAGGGTCAGATGCGCGCAATGTTTTTGAGATGGAAATGACAGGATTTGGCGATAGATTGAACGTGAAGGAGAGGTCGGAGTCAAAGAGAACACCTAGGCAGCGAGCCTGCGTGGTGGTGCTGATGGTAGCACCGTTGACTTGGAGGGAGACAGACACAGGAGTAACAACACTTGAGGGAGGACCAGAATTTCAGTTTTGGTCAAGTTGAGTTTAAGGAAGTGGGCAGCCATCCAGTTAGAAATAGCAGAGAGGCAGTCAGAGACACTAGTCAAGAGGGACGGGGAGAGATCGGGAGAGGGCAGGTAGATTTACGTGTCATCTGCATAGAAATGATATTGGAAGCCAAAGGAGCTAATGAGTTTACCAAGGGAGGCAGTATAGATGGAGAACAGTACGGGACCAAGGACTGAACCTTGGGGGACACCAACAGAGAGGAGTTGGGGAGAAGAAGCAGAGCCAGAGAAATAAACACTGAAAGAGCGCTGGGAGAGGTAGGAGGAGCACCAGGAGAGAGCAGTATCTTGCTTGTATGTGGATTGTTTGTGGGGTTGTGTGTATGTTTGTGTGTGGGCTGTTTGTATTATTTGTATGAGTAAAGGATTATTCTGCAGCTCTTTGTATATCTATCAGTGTGGGTGGCTTCCCTGGGTTCCAGTGGGGACCAGGCTGGCCAGGTACAGGTCAAGGGCAGGAGCTGCAATAGCCGCTGTGGGCTGCTCTACTCCAGTGTGGATGGAATCCCATTCACAAGTGTGGGAGGAAGTGACCTGAGATCACTTCCTCTACGTGCTGCAATATGTAAATTGAGGATTGTCCATTACCACCTCTTCGTATTGGCAGATATCTGAAGTTTCACTGGGACTCCTGATAGGCCAGAGCCTGTTTGGCTCTTGTAGCCTGGAGTGCCGTGCAAGACGCACGTGCCATAGGTTGCCTACCCCTGATATAGGTCTTGAAACATTGTTGATTCAGCCTGTTTCATATTATTTGTATCTCTAATCAAAACAGTCGTATACCAGACATAGGACACCCATTGATTTTGATGATCTCTGTTATTTATTGAAACAAACAAACTGGTGTTTCTGTTCCAACAACAGATAACTCAATTGTTTATGTTTAGTTTAAAAACATAAAGACTAAAGGAGTCTATTAAGTAGGCACCATCACACTGAAAAACCTCACAGTTCCCAACTTTCAGCTTCCCTTAACCCTATAATGTTATCCCAAACCTACATCTATCTCTCTATCTCGCACCCCACTCTTACCTTAGCAGCAGCTTTTTTTCTTGGAGCACGGAAATTCGGTTGAGCAATTTTAAAACAAATCTCACAGCATTGAGATCCATTTGAAAACAGCAGGGGTCTGTTTGGACCACTTTTGTTGCCATTTGGTTAGTAATGAATACAGTGAATTACAGAGGAATCTCAAAAACAGAATAGAGGATAATTGAGTTAAATATCAGCCAAATTTACAAAAGCAAATTTGGTGTTTAGTGAACACAATCCCTAAGAGTGCAGTTTTTTTTGAATGTTTTATTTTTTTTAAATGGATCTACTCGTAGTCTTTTATGTTTTTGAATCCAAACTACTTCTGTGTATTTTTTAGATAGCTACATAGAAATATATACATTTGGTCAATTGATTTGTAACACAAGTAATAAACATGTCCGTTCGCCTTCACATTATTAGTCCTAGGTACTTATTATCATGTGTGTTATAGATATGTGTTTCTTTCAATGCTGTGAATGCATATGGCATGTTAATCATTGTTCTTCCAAGAACTGCTTTGTAATAAAGTCAAATTGTTTGAGGCCATTGAAAGGCTTTACAAATACTGTAATCAGTTGGGTGCTGCAGGCCTCTGGTGACCAGGACACTTCCCAAGGTCATTAGCCATGTGTAGTGCTTACTTCCCCTGTCATTGAGATATCCCAGGGGGCTGTGTATAGTGGCAGAGCGTATGCAGGGAGGGTGTGTGACTGCGTGTGTTCTCAAGATTATAATAGGAGGGGAGGATTTGAAAGCATTCAATAGTTCCATCTGTGGCTTACATATTATTACTGGAAGAGCTGGGTACGGTGGCGTGGGAAGCAGTTAGAACTCTTTTCGTTGCTTTTTCCCTAGCATTTCAGTTGCATGTTTAGCACCATGTGCTATCTGCGACCACCGACATCTATTTACATCATTTTAGCTCAATTGAAGGTGCAGGACTAGATGTGTATTCAAACATGCGTTCAGTGCAGGAATACAGGGGTTTTGCACGGAAGGCTGCATTGCAGAGATATTTACATAGCAAGGTCTACAGAGCAGCAACAGGTGGCACTTCATTATAGGATCCATCTGTAAAGGATAAATTCTGTGTCAAACGGACAGCAGAGTTTGCTTTCACTTGGTAAGTGATCCTTGCTTGCTGCGCCATAATCCTTTCAGTGAATTATTAAGTGTCCTTGGCAAACAGGTTAATGACCCCCCATGTCCTTAACCACCAGAGGCCTACTAGGAAACTGTTATTTGGCTGGGGATTGGGAACTCAAGAGTTACGAGATCACAGCCTTTTGAAGTTTAAACCATAATTTTAAGCTTTTAGGAACTAACGACTTGGATTCTCCTACTTTACTTGCCAGAGTAGACTTTGCAGTTAAAAAACAAATGTTCAAATCTCCTAAACCATTTTGCTTAAAGGATTATTATTATATTATTATTCTTAAACATTATGCAGACAGAAATTAGTAAAATAAATTACAGACCAAAAATAAGCAGTTTGTCAGAGATAGCAGAAAATGAGATACCGTGTTTATTAAATTCCACCACCCTGTATTGTTTTTTTACTTTTGCAAGTAAAAGGAAGATTTCCCTTTGCAACGGTCAAAATTTCCACTGTAAATAAACGGACCCCACTTTTACTTACGGCTGCTGTGAGTGCATCCTTTGCGGGTTTGTGTACAATTCCTGCCTTGCTCGTGACCTGAGGAAATGCTGTGCGGCGCAAGAGGCCCAAGGTACGAGTAAATAACGGCATGGTTATAGTCTGTGTGTCAGGTCCCACTCTGTATGTGTCTGTGAGGTATAAAGTCCAATCTGCACCCTGGATAGAAAGGGAGGTGTTTACTACGTTATCTAGAGTCCCGTCATTGGTGGGTAGATTTCCAGCACAGAAAAGGTTAAAGAGATACGCTCTGTTTTGCACGTACATTGATCTATATTTATAGACCGGGGCGGGCGTAAATGAACGGGGCTGGTCCCAATCAGCCTTTTAAATGCCTCACCTTTGTAGAGCAATGATGCATATGCAAGTAGGGAAGGTTTGCTGTCATCCAAGTCTTGATTTATACCATAGCTATTATGCAAATATCCTGTGTGCATTGCACTGCCAATATTTGTGGCAACGGCGGGGTTAAACGTAGTCTTTATAATTCCTTAGAGTGGGTGTAAAAAAAAAAAATTCTTGTGTACTTAGCATGGCAGCTGCTTTACTTTATCATCCTGGCACTTTGCTCTTCACAGATTGCTCCCATGTTCTGTCTCGTACTAAGACTATTTCCTGCTCTGTTTGCCGTAACATTTAGCTTCTTGTTTTTCTTTTTACTTGTTAATGCTGTGTCATCCAACCAAGTGATTAGCTTGTTTCTTATTCCGATTGCATGCTCCTCATTCCATCTGTGTCTAGGCTTGGTCTTCCCTTTCTCTCTCCGTTTAATCATTCCACTAGTCTGCCAGAGCTGTTTATCAGTCAGCTCTGCTCATGTGTGATTATACCAAACACAAATCACTGGCAATAAATACAATTTATAAGTATGTTCATGACTGCGTGTGATCCGTAATGTGTTGCTGTTTCCTCTGGCACATCTTTAAACTAATTGTTCAATGTAAACACAGAACTGTCCGGATGAAGAATGAAACACAATGCAATGACCTCAAGTACTCGTGTTTGCCACCTCCCATTCATTTCTGTGATTTGTTCCCAGATTTTAATAAATTCCAGGGGTTTTCAGGTTTCTATGGGCTGATGCCGCCCTTTTTCTTTTAAGTGTAACTATTATATTGTATGCTCATTCCAACCGTAAGGGCAATTTTCATATTTACAAACGTCAATTATAGTTGGAAGCAGAATGCACATTCGGAAATTATCATTCAGTTGCTTTTCGGGAATATTCCCAGGCAAGTTTTAGGAGAAGTGAGACTTGCCTGTCTGAGTGCTCTGATTGGTTGGCTTTATTTTTACTAGATGGCCACTAGAGGTGCTTCCGCTCTGCATGGAGACACTGAACATTCCCCATAGAGATGCATTGATTCATCTGTTGGTGTTTGGCTCTGCCCCAGACCCACCTCCATGGCTAAGATGATCAGAATTCTTATGATGTCAGCCAATGAGGTGGATCTGGGGGGAACAGGCACCATTGGACCCGCATGGCACAGGAAATAAGGTAAGATTTTAGTATATTTAAGTGGAGCCAGGGGACCTAAATAGTAATTTTAACACTATAGTAGACATGTGCATTAATTTTCGTACGAATATGATTTAGTCCGAAAATTTGTGTTTTTTCATATTCGTTTACTAAAACGAAATGAAAGGGCAAATGCCAAATGCATTACCTTTTTCGTTTCATTCGTTTAATAGACTTCATGCTGCAGGGGAATCAATTAACTCTCACAGCACGTAAACAATAACACTGCACATGAGCGAACCAGCTCCCTCCTTGTAATAAATAATTATTCCTACCCCCCAAAACCTATGACCCCCAAATTAATAAAAGGGAGGTTAAATCCTCCCGCATGAGCCCTTCACGCAGCATGTATCGAGTAGGGGCATGTTGCCTAAACAGCTGTCATTTAAAATTGCTGGCCACTCACTAGTGGAATAAGGGGGGGACCTGGAACAGGTCCACCCCATGGTGGAGAACACATGAGCGGCAGATGGGGACCCTAAATAAATTAAAGGGGGGACCTAATTTCCCTCCTGGTCCCCACCCATGAATGGTGGTAGGCACCATAATTAAATAAATAATGAAGGGAACCTAATGTGCCCCCCAGGTCCCCACCCATGAGCGGTGGGGGGGGACCCTAAAATAATGGGGGAACCTAATGTCCCCCCCTGGTCGCCACCCATGAGTGGCGGGTGGGGACCCTAAAATAATGGGGGAACCTAATGTCCCCCCCAGGTCGCCACCCATGAGCGGCAGGTGGGGACCCTAATAAATTAAAGGGGGGACCTAATGTCCCCCCTGGTCCCCACCCATGACTGTCGGGTGGGGACCACAAATAATAAAGTGACTAGGGGTCCCCAAGCCCCTAGTCACTCCCCCCCAATAAAAATACCCTACATACCCCCCTCACCCTAATATAGTGAGAGGGGGTGGGCAAAAAACTAACCCTGTAAAATAAAATTTCATACTTATCATTTGATGTCTTCTTTCTTCTTTTCTTTCTTCATCTCCAAAAAAAGGGCAAATAAAAATCCATAATACACGCTGCAACTGTTAAAATAAAGAAAAAACCAGAGCGCAAAAAATAAAAAAAATGTCGAAAAAGAAATAAATCCCGATGTTAAAAAAATAATCCATCTTCACCCAGTGAGGGCATGGCGGAGAAAGGCATATAAAGCCTTGCCCCGCCCTGCAAATAGGCTCAGAGCGCTCTGATTGGTTGGTTTAAGCCAACCACTCAGAGTGCTCTGACAGGTAAATGAAGAGACTGACAGGTAAGTCTCTACATTTACCTGTCACAGCACTCTGATTGGTTGGTTTGAAGTCAACCAATCAGAGTGCTCTGTGTCATTTTACACAGCGTGGGAAAGTTCTTTGGAATTTTCCCATACTGTGTAATTTGACTCATAACACTGTGGTTGGTTGCTTTGAAAGCAACCAATCAGAGCGCTCTGAGCCTAATTGCAGGGCGTGGGAAGGCTTTATAAGCCTTCCCCACTCTGCAGAGCTCATTCTGTGCTGTGCCCTCCATGGGTAAAGATGGATTATTTTTTTACCGGTAAGAGTACGTGTAAAAAGTCGCTATTTTGGGTGGGCTTCTGTCAGCAGGGGCCCAATCGCACGCTGAGGCGCTTTAACAGCGCGAGCTGGCCCCTTGCTTTTCGGCAGCAGGCTGGGAGGAAGTGACGGCCGCAATTCACTTCCTCCCACAAAGAGAGGAGCGCGCGGGAAAGAAGAGTAGGCAGATTGGAGGGGGGCTGGCCGAGAGCGCTAGACCCCAACTCCCAACACCTTCAGCCACCAGCAGGAAAGGTAGGAAACTGGAGGGTGGGTTTTAAAGTGTATGTCTGTGTCAGTATGTCTGTCAGTGTGTGTGTATGTTAGTATGTCTGTGTGTGTGTGTGTCATCTGTGTGTGTCAGTATGTCTTTGTGTGTCAGTATATATGTGTGTGTGTGTGTGTGTGTCAGCATGTCTATGTGTCAGTATATCTGTGTGTGTGTCAGTATGTTTGTATGTCAGCATGTCTGTGTGTGTGTCAGTATATCTGTGTGTGTGTGCGCATTTCAGTGTGTATATATCTGTGTGTGTGTGTATATGTGCATACATCTCAGCATTCACACACTAACACTACACACAAATACACCCCTGCATTCAAATTTCAACACTATGTACAAACACGTCTGTGTTACACACCAAAATTATATGTAAATACACCCCTGCATTCAAAAACCAACACTACACAAATACATGCTTGCAATCACGCCAACACCACATACAAACATATTCCATACAAAAACCTGTTTACATTCAAACTCACAAAAACTGCTTAGTGCTAAATACAGACCTGCAAACATGGGTAAATGGTAGAGCCCCAGCTGTCAATGCATTTGTGGAGTTGCACGACAGATGGGAATCTACCTTTTAATCACCCGTGCAACAGGGAGACCCCCAAAAATTCTTGCACCTCTCTACTTTAGGTCCGCCACTGTGTTGAGGGGGAGGGGGGACAGGGTCCAGGGGGCCCCAAGCAAATGCTTTGCCCAGGGTCCGGTCACTATTAAAGACGGCCCTGCATATACGCACAAATACAACGATACAAAGCAATTACAGTAAAAATAACACAAGCAGAATACGGCAGCATACACCCCTCGATTAAAAAAAAAAAAAAAAAAAGGACAGGCACGCTACGGGACATCACAATCCTATATCGGCTCAGTGCTGCTAAAAGGTTGCCTACCCCTGCCCTAGACTTACCCTACTTCCTTGTGCCATCTTCTCTGTAACAACACCTGTGCTTGGGGCTCAGTCCCTGTGTATATTTGGTTACCTGTGTGTAAAGAACATGTGTGTAGGTAGCGGTTATCGTGTGTTGTGAACCATACCAATTCCCCAAAATCCATTCAATACCCCCCCCCCCAATCAAACTAGGAAACGTATATGTGGTATAAAAAAGGCCACAGCTTTATTTATAAATCAACGAACAAATGTAAATAAACCAACCATAAATAACTTCCAGGTGTAGTATGCCTAGTCCTTGCCAACCGTACCACCAAACCTCTAGGGTACACCCCACCACCAAGGCATCGGCCCTCCCCCCTCGTCCAAGATACCTGGCCTTCACTTTGGCCTTCCAATTCCACATGCCAACCCCTGGCCACCTTTCCTGGCACGGAGGGCACGCCCAAATACCCAAACATTTTCCGAGGTCAGGAATACCCAGCATCTTTCTTTTCCTGTACTCCTCTTCCCAATAGGTTCGGCAAGGACCATACCCGCCACTAGCCCCCAGCTGCATTTACGCCTAAATCAGCGGGCGCGACCCCCAAGCAACGCCATGGCCTGCTCCAACGCGTCCTGTAGCGCTAAATTAAATAAGTCCAAGCCAACATCAGTGAGATGGACCCCGTCCGGGCAAAAATAGATTGTTGCCTCACGCTCAAAAATACGGTGTCGCACTGTTAAGCCCCCGATGCCGAGAACAAATTTGGAAACCCACTTATTACTTTTCACCCTGCAGCGCTCCATAGCACCCTGATCGCGTGCGCACTGCCAATAATTCCTGGAAACGATATCCGACCAGACTAAGCAAAGTTGTGGAAAAAGCACACGCAAGTGCGCAAAATCTAGCCTGATTAGTTCCCCCAGGCCCCACGCAGGCAGCGACCCCAAATCGTTTCCCCCCAGATGCACCACCAAGACATCCGGTGCTCCTAATAAAGTGGATAACTGCACGACCTCAGGCAATAGCTGACCCCATCTCATGCCCCGGAACCCGAACCATCGGACCTCCGCCAGCTCCCGAGGTATTCCGAGCCGAGTCCCACCCGGGCGTACCCCTGCCCGCAGGTGAGCCCAGTAGATGTAAGAATGACTGATCAGCCAGATCCGTCGGCCGGGCCCTGTGGAGAAAACACAAGGGGGAAACCAATCAGACGTGTGGGCCGTACATAGGACCGAAACCTCCCCGATTCCCATCTGCCAATCCTCTGAATGGCCTGATCCGAAAAAACCTAAACGGGAGGCTTCAGTTGCGGCCCCAATCCGAAAAGAATGTCCCCCAAAGTCTTCACTCGAAATACCCAGATGGTCGAGTGCCAGCCGAAAGACCCGGAGAAATTGGAAGCGAGAAAGGAAGGAACCATCCCCATGAATTAATAGAGGGCCCTCAACGCCCGGGCGACCAAGACAATAAGACTGAAAGGATGCGACAGGGCAGACAGCCGAACCAAAAAACGCACCGAATCCGACACAACAGACACATCGTTGAACAACAAGCCCCCTGGGATCCGTTTGCTAGGGCTTACAAGCTCGCCGATCCGAAGAGCGCCAAAAAAGGCGAAAGTAAAAGCCACCTGGAACAGGCGTGCCTCCAAATCGGAAAAACAAACCCTGGGTAAGATTGACACAATGCCAACCAGCAGAGCGCCAGAGACCGGCCTCCGAGAATCCCGAAAGTGTGGGTCCTTCCGCCAGCCGCGCATCGCAAGCCGAACCATGCAGTCCTTGGTAACGTCAGGCACCTTAGTCAAATTGAACCAGAAACTAAGACCCGATAGCTTCCCTGAGACCGTAGCCGGAGAACACCCGCTAGCCTCCCACAACCAGAGTAACCGCAACATCGCTTGAACCCTTGCGGAAGTCGAAGCGAACCCACCTAGGTCCTGTTCTAAAGCGACCCAGTCCCCCCATGCCTTACCGTACCGAACCCAAGTTGCCTCAGATACCGAAGACCGAATCCATTCCCTTATTCGCTCAGGCCAAGGGACCATAACTCTCTGGGACAGGGGAGGCCTTCCGTATCTGCTTCCGGCGCGGCCAAACGAAACACCTGCCAGTGGAAACGAGAAAGAGCATCAGCCGTGGTATTCTCCACACCAGGGATATGCAAAGCGCGGCAAGTCACGTTAAAAGACAGGCATTGTAAAACCAAGCGCCGCAAGAGCCGAACCACCGGAGGGGAGGAGGCCGTTAACCTATTAATCTATTAATGGCCTGGACAACGCCCAGGTTGTCACAGTGGAACACAACACGCCTGTTCTTGATCTCTGGCCCCCAAAGATGGATAACCACTACAATGAGGAAGTGTTCCAAGAAAGCCATGTTCTTGGTCAGGCCAGCGGTGAACCACGATTCGGGCCACGGCTCTGCACACCATTGCTTTCCCATAATAGCCCCAAAGCCCGAAGACCCTGCGGCATCCGTAAACAGGTGTAGCACCGAGTTCGTCACCTCGGGCTGCTGCCAGTAGGACCTGCCGTTATACCCATCCAGAAAGACTGCCCATACTGCCAAGTCCTCCCTGAGCGCTTTGGTCAAGCGAACGAAGTGAGACGGCCTCAAAATCCCAGCCGTGGCGGCCGCCAGGCGCCGGTTGAACACTCTGCCCATTGGCATAATCCGACAGGCAAAGTTCAATTTGCCCAACAGGGATTGAAGTCGCTGCAACGTAATCTTTCGCAAAGCGCTCGCCACTCGCACCACCTCCCGAAGATCAGACAATTTATCCAATGGAAGCCGACATTCCCCAACAACGGAATCAATCTCGATCCCGAGAAAGCACAGGCACGTGGAAGGGCCAATTGTTTTGTCTGGCGCCAGCGGCACTCCGAACTCGCAAGCAACATCCGCCACTGCTTGCAGAAGTTGCGCGCATATTGGGGAGCGCGCAGGGCCAACGCATAAAAAATCGTTTAGGTAGTGAAGCAAGGAATCGTAACCGGATTCCGCTCTAACTACCCATTCCATGAAGGAACTGAAACATTCGAAATAAAAACAGGATATCGCACAACCCATCGGGAGGCACATATCCACATAATAATGACCTTCGAATATACAACCCAGGAGGTGGTGGCACTCCGGGTGAACCGGTAGGAGGCGAAAAGCCGACTCAATGTCAGTTTTTGCCATAAGTGCCCCGGGGCCAGCAGCCCTGACCATATCCACCGCCGCGTCAAAGGACGCGTAGGAAACGCGGCACAATTCAGCGGCAATGTCATCATTCACCGAACCCCCCCTGTGGGTGCGATAAATGGTGAATCAGCCTAAACTTGCCTGGTTCCCTTTTAGGCACCACGCCTAGTGGCGAAACCCTCAAATCGGTGAGTGGAGGTTCCCGAAAGGGGCCCGCCATGCGACCCAACGCTACTTCCTTAGCCAATTTTTCCCTGACCACCCTCGGGTGATCGGCCACTGATCTCAGGTTCCGGCAGAAACCGGAGACCTGCCGGGCCCGGTGAGGGATCCAAAACCCTTGCCCAAAACCCTCCAATAACAAGGCAGCCGCCTTCTTATTGCTATAACGCTTTAGCCAAGGGCGCATCGCGTCGACGTCCACTGGCGTCCTCGCCCTTAGCGCCCATGGCATCTCCTTTGTCGCCAGTCTTGCCACGTTTGAAGCATTTTGATGCTGGGTGGGAACCGCCGCACCCGGAACATTCATGCTTGAAGCGGCAGGCTGAACCGAACTTACATTGGCCGTCATTATATTGCCAACAGTACCCAGTCTTCCGCTGACTGGCCGACGCTGAAGATGAGGACCCAGCGCCGGCCCCCCCAAGAAAGGACGAAAGGCCCCCTTGATGTGAAGCTGGGCGGGTCATGATGGCCAACCACAAGCCGATATCCATTTGATCCCAACTCGTGGAAGGGCGAACTGCAAACCGTTGGCGGAACTGTTCATCATACCGCCACCACCCTAACCCGCCATAAACCCGACAAGCGTTCCATATCATGTCCTGGTAGCAAAACAGGGAAGAGAATTTGCTGGGAGTCTTTTCACCTATCACGCTAGCCAGGATAGAAAAGGCCCTAATCCAGTTACCAAAAGTTTTCGGAATCTTCCGATACCGAAACTTCTCTTTGTCTTTTTCAGACTCCTTAGCATCCGCATCCACCCGAGGAAGATCTTCCAAAGGGAGGAGGGAAAAAATTTCTACGAATTCCCCTTTTTCTACTTTAGCCCTCAAATCAGGCGTCAGGTGGAGGCCCAGGGGGCCTGACCAGCACATGTAAGCTGCCCCATGCGCAGCGGGTGCTACCCCTAGACCCGAGACAACCACGGCGTTCCCAGTAGCACTCACAGAGGACTCAGATGTCACTAGCGGTGGCGCCGAGGCCAGGGGGGTGGTGACCTGTAAAGAAGTGTCAGGTGCAACCCCCGCAAAATCACACCCTGCGGAACTAGCCCAGCCCGCCCGAAGTTGGCTATCCACGGCCACTGGGGGAGGGGCTCCAGGGCGAGGTCCCCGCTCAAGAGTTATAAGAACATTCTTGATAGCTTGGAGCACCGAACCCCACTCATGCAACTCGCGTGCGCCAACGCCCCCTGAATCTAATCCGGCGAAAGCAGAATACTCACCGGCAGGAGCCGAATTCGAGGGTAGCAGCGGAACCGCAACTTGCGCACTAGCCTGCGAAGGCCCCGAGGGAACTGCGACCGCAGGAAGCACCGTACCAGACACAGCGTCAGGGAACCGATTCGCGAGCTGACCAGGAGGAATCTGTGAAGACAGGACAGGTGAGAAAAAACCCTGCCCACCCACCCCAGGTGCTGGG